CCCCCCCCCCCCCCCCCAAATGTACTGGTAATAATAATATCTTGTTTTTTGTATTTTCACCCCCCCCCCTCCCCCCCCCCCCCCAAACCTAATTGGTCACGTATTTGTTGATGACATGGCCAAACAGCATGTTTACTCTCTGTTAGAAAACTAGCAAACATTTATTTGGCTTGAAGAGTAATTTAACTCTTTCCATTGTATATGTAACTCAGGAGTACAGCCGAACTGGTGCTGTCCTTTAACAAAGTCTAATATAAAGGAGTCGGGGTACGCCGGAACGCATGGAAACGGCGCTACTGTACTTTTTTTCCCCCTACTTAATAAACACATATTTATTTTTGGAGTGGGGAATCTTGCATGCGCTTCCTCACCCACCCACCCCCCACCCCCCGGTCTCGACCCATGTTAACATTAAAGAATGTTTTTTTTTCCAAATACACGAGGCTGCAGGGACAGTGTTGTATAAGGAGTTTTTAAAATGAAAAAAAAAATCTGTAGAGAGCGCTACTAATCCTTGGTCCGACGGTCATACTAAATTAAAAAAGACAACACCTGGAATTAACAATCATTTCCTTATTTTTAGACTTACATTGCGTCCTGAGACTCGTTTAGATCCCAGAAGAACACAACCCTTTAGTTAAAACAAATGAAAAGCTTTTAATCCACCGAGTGGCTGTTTCAAAATCCACCGAGTGGCTGTTTCAAAGTCCACCGAGTGGCTGTTTCAAAATCCACCGAGTGGCTGTTTCAAAATCCACCGAGTGGCTGTTTCAAAATCCACCGAGTGGCTGTTTCAAAATCCACCGAGTGGCTGTTTCAAAATCCACCGAGTGGCTGTTTCAAAGTCCACCGAGTGGCTGTTTCAAATTCCACCGAGTGGCTGTTTCAAAATCCACCGAGTGGCTGTTTCAAATTCCACCGAGTGGCTGTTTCAAAATCCACCGAGTGGCTGTTTCAAAGTCCACCGAGTGGCTGTTTCAAAGTCCACCGAGTGGCTGTTTCAAATTCCATCGAGTAGCTGTAACAAAGTTTAAAAAAAAAAAGATAATAACAATAATAATTTAACAATAAATATATATTATTATATAATTTACAGACATCAGTTTCAAAATTGGTCTAATGTGATTTGAGAATGTGCATCATACTCATTGTGTCCCAGTTCTCACTGTCATCGGCTAGTCGGTTGAATTTTAAGTGTCACCGACTCAGGGAGCCTCCCTGCGTTGCATCCTACGTGTTATGACCAGTGCAAAAAAAAAAAAAAAGTAATTATAATCTGTGACTCGCGCTGGGAAGTCGACGACTGAACGGCGCGCGCGTGGACCTTCTGCAGCAGCAGACCCGAACCATGACTCTTAACGGTTACCACTGTCCTTATCGGCCACCACTCACGACGGCCTGGGAGGCCATAAAGACATAAACAGACACTTATCTCTCTCCCTCCCCCCCCCACCCATAACCCTGCTGGATGGACGTATCGACAAGCCCTCAGTCATGTCTTGCAGCAGTAAAGATATGACATGACAGATACGACTGCTCACAGCAATGCTGGGTGGGAAAAGCGGGGGGGGGGGGGGGGGGGGGGGGAGGGGGGGGAAAGGGGGGGGGGGGGGGGGCGGAGGTAAAAAGGGAGGGGGGGCTATAGAAAAGTGCGCCATTTGGGTCGGAGGCTACAGTGTTTCAGTGAGTCTCAATCTTTGTTTAATTACACCATGACACCTGTAACGATGTGCAGCTTAGGTAATATAGGTTTACTATGCGAACAATGTTTTTTTTTCCCCCACTAACCTGTTGATGGAAGCAGAGATAAGAAGCCGAATTTGAAAGTGAGGACATGAATTAAAGTCACTTATTTACTTATTTTTTTATTAAAAAAAAATGTGTACTAAGAATAGATATTTCGAGAACCGCTGGGGTAGTTTTAAAACAAACGCCCAAGCAATGTCTAGCACTTAATGCGAGATGGGGGAGATGAAAAGGTGAAGGTCACTTTTTGTCTCGTGACCAGTGGTAAGAATGACTCAGTGACGGATGTCACGGAGCAGGTCATGGTGACACTATAGTAGTGGCGGGTGTCACAGAGCAGGTCAGGGTGACAATACAGCAGTGGCGGATGTCTTAGAGCAGGTCATGGTGACACTACAGTAGTGACGGATGTCATGGAGCTGGTCAGGGTGACAATACAGCAGTGGCGGATGTCTTGGAACAGGTCATGGTGACACTACAGTAGTGACGGATGTCACGGAGCAGGTCAGGGTGACAATACAGCAGTGGCGGATGTCTTGGAGCAGGTCATGGTGACACTACAGTAGTGACGGATGTCACGGAGCAGGTCAGGGTGACAATACAGCAGTGGCGGATGTCTTGGAGCAGGTCATGGTGACACTACAATACTGACGGATGTCATGGAGCAGGTCAGGGTGACAATACAACAGTGGCGGATGTCTTGGAGCAGGTCATGGTGACACTACAGTAGCGACGGATGTCACGGAGCAGGTCAGGGTGACAATACAGCAGTGGCGGATGTCTTAGAGCAGGTCATGGTGACACTACAGTAGTGACGGACGTCACGGAGCAGGTCAGGGTGACAATACAGCAGTGGCGGATGTCTTGGAGCAGGTCATGGTGACACTACAGTAGTGAAGGATGTCACGGAGCAGGTCATGGTGACAATACAGCAGTGGCGGATGTCAGGGAGCAGGTCATGGTGACAACATAGCAGTGATGGCAAACCATTTAGTGACCGAGTGGTCAAACTACATTAAAAAATTAGCTGATTTATCATAAAGTGGCAACACTGCCCTGCAAACCTCAATACTGAGGTTCTATAGTTAAGAAAGACTACAACTCATACCCTTGTTCCAACCGAGAGAGGTCTACACGCCCGCGTGCCATACGTTCGCCACCCCCCCCCCCCCCCCCATCGCCCCCTAGACAGAAAGCCTGTACACTGCAAGCTGTTATGATTCGTTCAAAGTCAACGGTTTCCGAGTGCGCCTAAATGCAACAAACTGGATCAGCTCAGCCCCCCAGTGTGTCTTCCAAGTCACCTTGGTGCGAGGAAACGAAATTCTTAAGCTTCGTCCTCGGATTTGTTCAATCGAGATAGTTCCAAGAGAAATACGATTTAATATATATATATATTTAAATATACAAATATCGTCATACGCCTTCACCCGCTTGTCCAGTTCAGCAAACAGACTGTCGACCATGACCTTCACCCGCTTGTCCAGTTCAGCAAACAGGCTGTCGACCGTGACCTTCACCCGCTTGTCCAGTTCAGCAAACAGACTGTCGACCATGACCTTCACCCGCTTGTCCAGTTCAGCTAACAGACTGTCGATCAGGACCAGAAACGACTTTGAACTGTTCCCTTATAACGAGGTCTGCTTCATATTTTCTCTCTGGAATTCATCGCCCCTTGAAAAGTGCCGCTCAGGCAGCCGCCCATGACGCTCTAGGCAGCCGCCCATGCCGCCTATGCGTTATAGTTACGTCACAGAGCAGAGAACAATAGTAACATTTACATAGAAGTAACCCTGTATCTAGGCGTCTGACAGTCGGACTCCAAAGCTCTTTCTGATGATTATTTTAAGGTTAATATAGCAAAGGAAAACTTTTCAGTTTCCTGAAAATTCTAGTCTGTTTTCATCGGATCATATTTCAGGAATGGATCCTCTTTTTCAGGAATGGGCCAATTTCAGGAATGGACCCTCTTTTTCAGGAATGGATCTATTTCAGGAATGGACCTATTTTAGGAATGGAACTATTTCAGGAAATAAACCTATTTCAGGAATGGACCTATTTCAGGAATGAACCTGTTTCTGTAATGGGCCTATTTAAGGAATGGGCCACTTCCAGGATTTGGCGTATTTCAGGAATGGGCCTTTTCCAGGATTGGGCGTATTTCAGGAATTGGCGTATTTCAGGATTGGGCCTATTTCAGGATTGGACCAATTTCAAGATTAGGCCTATTTCAGGAATGGGCCTATTTCAGAATTGGGCCTATTTCAGGATTGGGCCTATTTCAGGATTGGGCCTATTTCAGGAATGGCCCTATTTCAGGAATGGATTTATTATAGGAATGAGTCTACTTTTTATTCTATATATTAAGCGCCACGATCAATTTCTTGAACATTCTGGCTCCTATGTAATGTAGAGGGGATTTTCAATATTTCTGTGCCTGACATTGAAGAGGATATTTCACTGTTTGCAAGGGCTACTAAGCGAGAGTATCAGGACCTGATTTTTGGAAGGCCTGAGGCAATAGACGCAAATGTGTCAAGCGATGCCACCTCAACTGTTCCATTTGGAAGCTTGTTCCAGTCCTTGATTCTCCTTGGCAGGAATGAGCCGTTCCTGTACTGGGTTCTTGCTGTTACAAGCCGGAACTGTCTGTCATGGCCTCGTCGCTGTCTGTGGGGGAGAGGGACGAGTTTCTGTTTAATGCTGGAGCAGTAGACCAGCCCATTATTTATCCTGTACATCATGGAGAGCCTGGATTGTCGTATTATTTCCTGCAATGCTACCAACATTAGAGGTATTCCTGTAGCAGTTCAGGACAAAGCGTGCTGCCCATCGCTGGACCGCCTCCAAACTGTCGATGCTCTTCTGGGTGAATGGGTCCTAGACTAAAG